GCAGAGTTGAACAAAAGTGATCCGTGCCAAGGTCTTTCGTTTCAGTTAAGGTATTCTTTTATTTGTCAACTCTGCTAAATTTAGGCAAGTATTATGTTACAGAGATCATCTTTACGAATGTAGTCTTGCAAGGCCTACAACTGTCAACACATAGGTTTTTAAAATACCCCCTTTAAATTTACAAAAACGCAACTCGAAGTCGGACTCAAGTGCGGTGATTTATAATATTATTTAAATGTGTACTACTCGCGTAAACTATAGACAGTATTTAACAATATTATTATCGAGAAATAAAAATCTAGCTACATCCAACAAAAAAAAAAACTATACAGTAATTTTTTTTTGTTGGATGTAGCTAGATTGCTAAACGTGTTGCCTAACATTGCGTTAAGCACGACAAGTACTGTTAAAATAGATTAATACGGTAGGACATGGCAGGAATTTTGATCAAATACTTGCCTGTAAATAAAATCGAAAAGTAAAACGGACACAGAAATGTGTTCGCCTCATGATTTCATTTTATGCTCCATTATGAGAGCTTTAATTTTCTCATCTCACGTACGAATTAAAAAATAATATTGCTTGCAGTGTTGTAAGCAAGCTGTTTTACAATAAATATCTTATATCAGGCTGAGATAAGTTGAGACAAAATGCCTGTCATTAAATATTAAGAAAACAACGAAACACGTTTCGGATGCTTTGAAACAGCCGTGATCACGCGTATATATCGCGTTTTAGACAGTATTAGAGAGTATGCCTTAAAGTACTTAACGCAGACGGGTTTATTGTTGACCATTGTTGCAAAGTATTGTAGAAAAAATAGGTATTGAGTATCAATCCAGATAACTAATGTTATTAGACGTGACGTAACAAAATAAGCCATTATCCTAGTGTATTAGTCTTGTCAACCCTATATGTGTATACACATATAGGCTCAGATAAACATGTCTCATGTCAGGGTTACGACATCGATCATTTGAAGTCAGTTCTGATCAGGGATGCCAACATACATACTGAATTAATTTAGACCTTAAGAACTTCTTTCCTATTTAAACAATAGACACACAGTAATTATGACTGTTAGAAAGCAACCAAATCGTCGGGCAGAAATAAGATATCGAGACTAAGCGATGTCTAAATCCTTGGGCTGTATCTATAGATCGAAACTAATCAATGTCATGTTTAAAACTGTTAAAAGTGTTTTATAAAGTTTTTAAATTACTGTTATATCAAAATTGACATTAAAAATGTTCAAAGGAGTATGAAAATATGAACTAAACTTAATTAACACTTGACAAATATTATCTAGAAAACGAATAACTATTTATCCATCGACTTTTTTGGTTTACCAATTACGGTAGTCGATGAAGAAGCAACCCTAATTCTTATAATGGCTTACTTGTTCCCGATGAAATCAGTCTTCGGGAGACTGCAGATAGTTTTACGATAGAAAAAATATTGTGAGTCACGAGGAGATGAGTTAGGAAATAAAACGTATTTACGTTGTCACGTAATATCCTGGCTATCGCTATGTGTGTCTGTTTATCTCGTTTATTTATCTGGCCACGGTACGTTATCCACGTTGATTTTCACGATTACAAAATAGAAATAACTCAAATTCCTCTATTGTAATTTATAAATACTCGTAACGTCTTACTGCAATATTTATTAAGCAAACAAAACAGAAACATGATAAAATTATAATATTTGATAGCAAGAAAACAGTTTACAAAATTATATAACATAAAAAACGTTTAACAAATAATTAATGTGTGAAAGGAACAAGAGAAACATAAAAATCGAATAGCATAGCAGTGTATTTTTTATTACAAGAAAAATGCATATTTCGTATATAATTCAGGGAGAATCAGTAAGAAAAATTAAATATTTAATGTTTGTTTAACGAATTATTAATTAATTACAATAGGCGCTACATATCTGCAAGCTTTTAACGCATTAACAAACAAATGAATAACTCGGAGATATTCCGCACCAAAATTTCCCGCGCATTCGCAATTTCTAGAATGTTACTATTATCAAAACCATCTAAATACCTATCGCATTGTTTGATGCTGCAAAATACATGCATTTGAAACTGTCCTCATGAATTTATTCATGGACGCTCTGCAATTGTTCGTTTTAAAACATATATGAGGGTCTCTCCTGTTATGTAATACGAAGGACCTTCGTACCGTTCGTGATCACATTCTGTAATTTCTGGAATGGATGGATGGAGGGAAAGTTGGTTCAACTCCTATAAACTAGGACTCATTACTTATAACGAATTTTATAAATCGTATAATTTTTTAGGTAATTTCAATCAAGAAACATAAAAAATAATAACTAAATTTAATAATCAACAATATAACATTACTTGTTTAAAAACATATAAAAATAAGGCAAATAACACTTTTTAAATATTTACTTTATCAGGTGCAGATAAAGATTTCGTCTATGTTTTTGTCGTTATTGTGTTAGTTTGGGCAAACTACATACACGCTTCTAATTTTTAGGCAAAAGGATCATCATTTTAATAAAACACTTAATGTTTTATATCGCGAAATGTATATGTTAACTTATCTACAAATTTATTTTAACTACGACCTGATGTAGCCATGGTCACAAAGTAAATAAGTTAACTTATACAGGTTTTCACCATTTAAATCCAAATATGCGTTAAGATTTTTGAACAGTTAAATTAAATTGTTTTATCTCAATAATAATTATAAACAGTTTGTCATGAAACGTTACATTATTAATTTTGGATGAAGCATACGGATCACAGCGCACCGAGTAAGTGTACTTATAACGTGAGTAATATAGTAGGATTATTAATTTTACTAGAAAATTAAAAAAAAAACAGTCTAGCAGCTGACGACCTGGTCATGATTGATGAGCACGTACTAGATTTCGAGACATTGTGATGACATACTTAGTAGCGTTTCGTTTTTATAAAAAGATTTGTTAATCTTTATAAGTAATATAAAACCAGTAACTTTTTAACCTCAGTAAAAATCAAAATACATTAAGCGTGAGAGTCTTAGATTCGACTTCCGGTGAAATATAGGAATGTCATAGCTTCGGTCGGACGAATAGAAGTACTAAGCTGCTAAAGTGAATATAAAATCGACACATTTATATTAATTCTGTCAAAGAAGCTTGTAAACAATAAATAATTAATCGAGTCAGTATGCAAATTTTTTGCTTATTTACATAACATACATAAAACATAAAATAATCTTGCTTTAAGTTTTCCGTGACATATTATTAGCATAAATTGCGACGGGAGTATTGACAACAGCAATAAGCTATCAAGCTACTGTAAGTGAGCTACTGATCCACTAGCTTAATGCGCGGCTTGAAAGACAACAAGAAAAATTAAAATGAAGGTGTATTTTAACAAGTTTGGAATATGTAACACAGCCGATATAATATTCACACACCAGAAATCTCTTTACTTACTCAGCTTATCTAGTTAAAATTACAATATACGTACAAAAGAGTTTTACATTGCAACCGTGAGTTGCAATATTAAATAACCGATTATGTTTCTTCAATTACATACAAGTGGTACTTTATTTTATGTGCGTTATTAAATTAGACATGATTATGAGCGAATCCGATTATATGGTCTTAACACGACCGTTAACTGATTTCGAAGCAAACTTGGACAAGTAAAACATTATCGACTGTGGCTACAAAATTTTATTATCAGAAAAAAAATGCTTTGATGCAACGCTGGCAAGATTACGCATCTGCTCATTTGACATTTGCTTCATACGTTTGGAAACAAAAAATACACAAAACAAAGCAAATAGAGTCATGCTTAGTAACACTGTCACAATTGAATCTTGAATGATGGTTTTGCCACAATTGTTTTCCCCTTTATTCGACCTTTGGGTGTAATTTACTCATAAAAATTGAAGAGGATTTGACACAGATAAAATTGAGGCAGGAAAACAGATCGTATACATGCTGAAATAACATTTGGTGTATATATATATAAATATATGCTTGTTATATAGATGGATTTAGCTTTATTGTCATTATTGTATAGTATTATTACTTTTTGCAATTTAGAACGTCAAATATAACTTATTTACAATTAATTTTAACAAAGGCCCGACAGAAATTACAGAAATTACTAACATTTGATAATAATATAATATTAATCTTTTTTTTTATACATACAAGATTTGTTTATTGATATAATAATAAATAAAATTTCTTGTGTTTATCTAACATAAACATTTGAAGTACTGCTCTGATAAATAATATTCTCAATTACGTTATGATAATAATCAATGTTTTTCAAGTTTGCCTGTGTCCCCGTTGATACGCTTATGCGACCTGAGCACCATTTTTAACAAAAAAAAAGTTTTTTTTGAGTTCCATTATAGGTTGTTATATTATATCTTTTTTAATTAGTATTAAAAGCAATAGTCTTGCCGAATACGTTACCTTTTTTATTTAGGTAAAACAAACAGTAATATAATAGAAAAATGCGCTCTTATGTAATTAAGAATAAATTGGAAGCAGCAGCATTTTTGAGCAAAAACAAATATAGATGAAGAATTGTCAGCATATAAAAAATTGTTGAAGTAATATTTCATTTTAAAGAAATGCTTTAACGGTCTTAAACGAGATATATGTTAGTTAAACGCATTAGAAAATTGTTTTAACTACTGCCCTACGTCTCAGATGCTTTCAGGCGTTCACGGGGAGCGACTGATGAAAGCATACGAAAAGTCGGGCCATAGTTAAAACAATTTTCAAATAGGTTTAACTAATATATATTGCGTTTTAAACCGTTAAAGTGTTTTATTTAAATGTGTAGTACTCGCGTAAACTACAGACAGTATGTTATATATTATACTGACGTTTTATATGCAACTCTATCGTACTGCTCATATCTTTTTGCTTGACACTTGTAACGATCATTGGACATCCCACATGGTAATTGAACACTTACATCATAGTCGAATCGGCAGTGTACCACGATGTTCATTGAAGCGATAATATTTTTAGTGACTGCGATAGTAACTTATGTGTTATATACGCATAATCGTTTAAAAAACTATTTCGATGCTCGCGGAATTAAGTATGATCCCGGTGTGCCCTTGTTGGGGAATACCTGTGGAAGTACATTTAAGAAGAAACATATTACCGAAGATATCGATGCGATTTATAAACAGTTTCCAAATGAAAAGTAAGTAAATAAGCTTAATATTAAACGAATAATATTAAATTACATTATCTTGCGCGAGAGGTGCATGTATCAAAAAGTTGAAAAAAATTCGACGATGGATAAAGATGAGATTCCGGTTCAAGTCCTGCCCGAGTCGAATATTTTTTTCAATTCATTATCGATTTTTAATTATCTATACAAATATTTAAACGTTAAATAGTTTGTTTGTTTAAACGTGGTAATCTCAGGAACTACTGGGTCGAATAAAAAAATATTTTTGTGTTGATTGAACCATAAATCGAAAAATGCTTTGAATTATGTAACATCACGCTGCGGCCAATAGGAGCAATATTATTAATCTATGAGTAAAACGATTCAAGATACCAAAAAATATGGGTAAAAGACTGTTTTTTTGTTGTAAATGATTAAAGACAAATGCCCACGACAGTATATGCCTATCTTTTAAGATTAGCTTGCAAGAACGACGGAACGCGAACGACGCCGTGGGTAAAAGCTACAATTTGTAAAGCTGAGAAGGAAACTATTCCACGCAGACGAATTTGCGGTCATAGCTAGTGGATTATATGTATTTCGTTACTTCTGCCGGAAATGGAACTGTGATAAAATAATGAGACAATAATGTTATAAAATTCATAATTGTTAAATATAGTATTACCATAATAATAGTTACTCTTACATAATTATTATAAGTATGACATTGTAAGCTAAGCAAGAAATATGTCCAATTGTTTTCAGATATGTTGGTTACTTGGAAGGTTTGAGACCGATTATTCTAATAAGAGACCCAGAACTCATAAAAGCAATAACGGTGAAAGATTTTGACCATTTTGTCGATCACAAGGAGTTTGTACCCGTTGAAGTGGAGCCACTTTTCGGCGACAGCCTTTTTGGAATGAAAGGTAAGGGCCCTCGACTTTAGTTAGTAGCTATAGTATTACGTGGCCAAGTTGTAAAGCGTTGTTTAAAATTGAGTTGACGAAAATAATAATTTGCATCGTCTTCGTTTTCGATCAAAATTGGTGTGCATTATTTGTGTTTTATAGTGTTTCTTTTATGAATAGCTGTTGTAAACTTAATAACACAATTTACAAATACAGATAAATGTAGAGTTTACACGGTAAACACTATTATTATTTTAATGAAAAGCCGAAAATGAACCGTAACCGAATTTCGACAGAATGAAAAGTTCGTTTTAGGTGTTAAAATTATGATTATGAATTTGCTTCCCCTTTAAATTAGGTTAAAAAACTGTTCAAGTTAGACTCGTATTTGTTTTACAAATCTACCCTTTGTTCGGTTTGAAATTCGGTTAAATCGAGTATATGCCGCAATTCGGCCCATCCTTATTTTCTTGAAACTGCACAACCTATGTATTTACCTTTATACTTTTAATTATACGTGCCTCAAGCTTTTTCTTGTCCCATACGATTAATATCTTTTTTAGGCGATAGATGGCGTGATATGAGGACCACCTTGAGCCCAGCATTCACCAGCTCGAAGATGAGACGAATGATGCCTTTTATGAACGAAATTAGTGCTAATATTGTGGAGTATGTAAAAGGTAAGCAAACGACGTTCCATAACTTCAATCTGTCTTTTAGTTTATTATTATCTTTAAAAGCCAACTTAAAATTATCACTAGAAAATGCCAAACTATCTTCTCGGGTGTCATATGTTTTGTCAACAAGCGTTATCAAATTCCGTCCAGGCGTTCGGGCGTAATAAATCAGAAACTTTTAAATGTGTTATATGTAGGGATTGCAATTTTTAGTACTTACGAAGTTTTGCACATAGGTATATTAAAGATTTCTTTGTTATCATTGCTTTTTTAACCTTTGAACTAAGAAATATATATAACATGACAATGTTATAAATAAGATTAAAAAAACAGCACTAAAGAGATTATCTTTTAACCAGTGACACTATATGAATACTTACATTTACAAATAATGATGATAGAAGCGTTGAAGATGAGCTGCAAAAACTCTTCTAATAAGTACAAGAAGAGTATCTTCTTTTATGACAGACTCTACCATTAACAGAGAGCCCATCCAAATCTTAGAGAAATTCAAGAAAAAAGATGTCTGTGGCGGAAGTTAAACACACTACAGTCCGTGCCACTTCTCTGCTACGGACTTAACGTGACTCAACTTGTTGCTTATTATTAAAATATTTTCTAGATCACATAAATGAAGATACAAACATTGACGATTTGATCCGAAGATATACAAACGATGTAATAGCTTCAACAGCTTTTGGACTCACTGTAAATTCTCTTAAAGATAAGGAAAACGAATTTTATAAAACCGGTCAAGATTTGTTCAATTTTCCGTTTCTGAGGCGCGTCGTGTTTATCATTACTTTTCTCTTTCCTGCTGTGGCAAAGGTAATGACTTAGTTTAATTAACTATGTTGTAAAATAACTCTATTGGTATATCACTTGGCTAATGACACATTACTTACCATAACACCCACTCTTAGTAACGACTGTAGGAATTTGTAGAAGGACCTTTGTTATTGAAAAAGTCCTTGTTTATTGCCAAGATATTTCGCTACAGTTAAACAAATAAATAATACGACAGTATTACTCGTTCATATGAGTGATGAGGTTTAAAAAAGATAATTGTATTTATAATATTCCTAATGACTATTGAGGAATAATTTTTATAATGTCAAGTTAATCAGAATTCCTGAGTGTCATAGGAAAGAGTACCTATTAATTTATATAGTATAAAATATAGTCCATTTTCTTACCAAATAATGTTTTCATTTAGACCATGGGCGTGTCGATGTTCAATCCAAAAAATATGTCATTCTTTATGAATATAGTGTCAAGTACTATGGAACATAGAGAGAAGAATAAGATTGAAAGACCGGATATGATTCAGTTGTTGATGGAAGCTGCTAAAGGTAAAATAGTCTAAGAAACTAATTTTTTTTATACTTAAATAATATATACCTATTCTAAAGAGTAAGTCAAATTTTTCTCATCTAACTCGAAATAAGGTAATAAACAAATTATTAAACAATAAAATTTGATGATCTCAGAATAAAATATGATTTACAGGAAAGCTTAAAGTTGACAAAGAAGCTAGCGACGAATTACCAACTGAATTTGATTTGAAGTCCAAAACAGTTAGTAGAGGTACGTAAAAATAATTTTAGGACCACTGACCACACATATACAAAATACAATAGACAAAATAGAATCTGCTATGAGTAAATTGGCTATTTTTGCTCCTTTTTGGGCTTAGACTAATAGAAATTATTGAGTTAGAACACGACACCATTACATAAACTCTCAAAGGCCAATTTTTAACCGTATTTAACAAATATTTAAACTGTTAATTTTTAAACCAAATAAGCAACACAAACAAAGTTAATTTTGAAATAAATTAAACTTATTTACATCATAACAATTAGGTAACCACGGTTTGGAAAAAATAACGAATAAAAGTTTTTTTACCGTACTTTGCATGGATATATCCTCATTGTTCCAGAATGGTCTCAATCGGAATTGGCTGGTCAAGTATTTATATTCTTTGCTGCCGGTTTTGAAAGCTCAGCATCAACATTAGTCATGCTGCTACATGAATTGGCCTTGAATGATGAAATCCAGGAAAAGTTGTCTCAAGAAATTAAAGACTTTAAGGAGAAACATGGCAATTTGACATATGATAGAATAAGCGATTTGAAGTATTTGGACTGCGTCTTAAATGGTGAGAGTATTCATTATTAATTTATTTTTATTTAGATAGACATAGAATTTAAGAGTAACTCGAAACGATGACTTGGTAACATTAATTTTTTCAATCTAAAGTAGATATCTAAGACTATCCTTAATTATTTTCATATATATATTAGGAGGATAGACAAGTTTGGGATCACATCAAGGTATGTAATAACCCCAGCAATATAACATATAATTCAGGTGTGCTACCAGCCTGTTTTGGTTTGAACTGATGGATAGTTATAAATGCTACATTAACAAATAATTTGTGACACATATTCAGTAAAGATTTTTACATTGTAGAAGCGTTACGAAAATGGTCAGTAGCTATTGTCGCAGACCGAGTCTGCACGAAAAAGTACGAGTTGCCTCCACCAAGAGATGGGGGAATACCATGCAAGGTAAGGTATAAAGAACATGCCAACATGTAGGCGGAAACGCTCGTTTTTATCTGATCATTATTTATACAACTGGGAAAAATCATGTCTATTTTATTCCCACTTAAACAGTTTGTTTCTGTTATTATGACGGCAACTTATTATTTTAACTGAACTGAACTGAACTGTTTAACTGAATTTTTACCTAAAGTCAGTGTAGTGTTACACTGGCTTACTTATAACTAATATAATTCAACATATCGTCGTTATTCGGGTTGTTCGGCTGACATAAGCGAGAAAAGGTTGACGACGTTTCGCCATCACGAGCGGCGCAAGAAATTGCGTTACGTCGAGAACCTTTTCCCGCTGACGTCGGCCGAACGGCCCGAAAAACAATGATAGTTAAACGATGACCGTGAAAGCCTCACACAATGTAAGGCTTTCACGGATTATATAAGGTCAATATATTTTAAGTTTCAACGAACAAAATATGCTTTATTGTATAGACAGACATACTAATAGTTTTCGATCTTCCCAGTTGGACATCAATAGCATCGTGTACTGCCCAGTGAATTCCCTCCACTGGGATCCTGAACACTTCCCAAATCCTCAAACTTTCGACCCTGAGAGGTTTTCAGAAGAAAACAAACAGAATATTAAGCCTTTCACATATATGCCATTTGGAGTTGGACCGAGAACTTGTATTGGTAAGATGAGTACAAATATTTAACTTTTAATCATTGAATAAATGCAAGACGGGCTTAGGTCCACAAGTAGCAGTGTATGGTTTATAATCGTCGGATCGTAGGTGCGACGTCACGAACCAATGTCCACAGATGAAAAAGCCGTGAAGCTTAATCGCGCTTCGGTTTCAGTCTGTGGATTTCCGAATATCCAAAGCTAAAATAGGTCGACGGCGAATCTTTTTTAGACTCTATAGGAGTGCACCTATATATATAGGGGTATATCACCTACCATCGAGTGTCTGTCCGCCTCTATCATTAAAAAAAAAGAATTGTCCTACTCAAGATCTATCAAAGAAGCCATATTATCTACGCTAAGATCAGCGTTTTGGTTTATTAGCTTTGTATAAAGCATGTCCATTGATAAAATTAATAAGATGCTTGGTATGAAATTAACAATTGAAGTACATAAAAGTATTTTTCTTCCGTTTTCATTTTATCGTTGTGTTTCACTTTATCATTCGTTACAGGAATCCGGTTTGCTTTGATGGAATTGAAAGTCCTGCTGTATCACTTGGTTGACCAATTCAAGATAGTGAAGTGCGACAAGACTGCCGACCCACCGGAATTGGCCCCCGAAGACGTTAAAATTATGGCTAAGGGAGGCAGTTGGGCTAAGTTTGAAATTAGGAAATAGTGGCGAGTTATGGATATTTTCTTATATTGATATATATAAAAATGTACTTGCAATAAAATCAATAACGTTACATATTAAAATAAGGCATTCAACACGAGTTTTATTAAGAATAACATAGTTGATTATGCGCTGGTAAAGTTATAATTTAAATACTGTCCATAGTTTACGCGAGTAGTACACATTTAAATAAAACACTTTAACGGTTTAAAACGCGATATATTAGTTAAAGTCTCCCCGTGACCACGGCTGCTGCAAAGCATCCGAAACGTCGAGCCGAAGTTAAAAATCATTTCCAAATAAGTTTAACTAATATATCGCGTTTTACACCGTTAAAGTGTTCTATTTAAAAGTTATATTTTTTTGAAAATACGAACAAAGTTTTGATTACCCACGAAAATTGGTGGAACTATTTCGCACCCATAATGGCTAATTAATTACGCAATAGGGGAATAAGATAAAATTAAGGAATATAATAGGGACTCACCGAATAGAACTAGTTCAACAGGCTTCACACACTTGTAAAAAGTGGTGTCCACGACCCGGGCGGTGTCCGGTAACTGCCCTAATTCTGCTAGGTCTGTCTTCACTGCTTGCGGTGAGGTGCGCAGGAAGGAGGGCTAAGCTGTTGGTGGTAAGGACTTAGAGGACATGGAAGGTCGTTTTGGATACTTATTGCCTAGCTCTATCAAATCCGGTCCCGAAGTACGATATAGCCCAACCAATAGTATTTAGAAGAATAACAGTTTCAATTGTTTTAATTTGTTTTTTTTTTAATTTTTATTTCTATTCTATTTTTTTATTGCTTATACTAATGTATAAAAAGAAAAACAATTTATTTAATTTGTATCATAATAGAAAGTTGCGTTGGTATGAGCACTCAGAGCACGGCTCAAGGTAGGGAGTGCGATTCCTGACAAATATCTTTGTTTTTATATGTACGGGTACAACATCTATAAATTGTCTATATATTCTAATTTGAGGCCCAAGCCCAACTGTGGGAATCGTTAAAGGGCTGACTCCTAAGTGTGATCTTAAAACAACAATTACAAAGTTACGTAAAGAACATAAATACAGGTAATAATAAAACAATATCAAAACAATTTTGCATGATATGAATATTAAAATTTAATTAAACTGAAAACAGTCGTGTGAAATTGAACTTTAGCTTTTAAGTACGTGTTGTTTAAGTTAGTGTATAGTTTAATAAGGTGGTTGGGACCGTTTAAATTAAGCGACAAAATATTAAGACTGCTTCACATAAAGTTATTGTTTTTATGAGGCTATAAAATGTCTATAAAAATATATAATACGAATGCAAGAGAATAAGCAATAACCTATAAAATCATACACCTAAAAATGCTAATTTCATTGCAAAAATTACATACGAAACTGGCAATAAAACTCCAATTAACCCAATAAAATGCGAAGCTATTTTTCAAAGTTGCCATAATTTTAAAATTTACTGAGCAATGAACTGTAAATCATTGCAATGTTGGTGCGATTTAAGAAAATGTGATTAAGGGAAAAGGTTTTATATGGCAACTATTTCTCGATTGAATTGTAAATAGTTCCAGAACTAACGCTACCACAAAATAAATAGCCTATTCATCAACTGCGGTGTTGGAAACATACGTCGCACTTTCTAATGTAACTCTAAACTAATAAATTATAAATTAGTAATTTCTCTATTATGGCACAGATATATCATACTTTTACGTGGTACATTTCTGTGCCTCTTTCATTAATCGAATTTGTTTATACGCAAGTTCATCAGGCTCCTGTGTCTTGACCGAACCTTTTCTTTTTCTCCGGAATTCGAACCTAGAACCCGAATTGCTTATTGCATCATCTTGGCGAATTATTTATGTTTTAAAAATGTTTTATAACAACATCCTAATTTTGTAATACGGGTTATGAAACACGCGAAACCACATTTACTGAAAATCTTAACAATTCATATAACAGAAATATTCAATTAAAGTGAAATTACAAAAATTTTCTTCACTAAAAGTTTTGACGGGACTTGCATGCACAATTTTAATATCATGTTTTTAGAAACGATGATAGCCAAATATGAATTTGTATGTTTTCATGTCAAACTACATACACTTGGCAACATTTCATCTTGTTTTGAGAACAAGCAGAATTTAAACAGGAATAGAAAACCAGTTAGTATACATCGAATTGGGAATAAAATTGAATATTTAATTTAGAACTACACAGTACTTTTAAAAACATTTAAAAGTTTAGAACACGAAACTTGTTAGTTAGGTACTTACTTTTTACTTCGAGTCCTCGCCGAGGGCCTTCCTCGTCCACTTATACGTCACTAGCTGAGTCAGCGACTTCGTCCGCGTAGTAATAGTAATTTTGGGCATCCAAATTTGTTTTTGCAAACCTCCTCTTCATCTTTATAAATTTAAGCTATTCTATATAATTTAAGCACGATGTCGGTCGCGTCCCGTCGTTCTTGATAACTTAATCTTAAAAGATAAACATATAATGTAGTTTTTTTTAGATCATTTAAATCTCATACATGTTTCATACTTATTTTTTCAGTACCTTGAACCGTTATCGCAGCGTACGCATCGGAAACCCACAGAGATGAATAATTCTCCCCGTTTTTTCCACAATTCCCGATGTTAGGTCACAGCGCGTGTTTTAGAGCCTTTCGTTATAAATGCTTTAACCAACACAAAAATAATTTTTCGATTCGAACAAGTAGTTCCCGTTACAAGTAGATTAGCGTGTTTAAACAAACAAACTCTTCAGCTTTATATATTAGCATAGATGCGTATAGTCGCATAAATTAAAAAAACAACACAGTCGTTTGTTTTTTTGGTTAGTTATTTTATTGGCTTTACATAATGAGAAAAGTTAAATATATTCATCACAACATATAACAAGTTAACCTTCAACAAAGTAAATTGAGCTTGTACTGAAATGTCTACGGTAATAAAGTTGAAAGAAAATTGTCTGGAACAACCGAAATACATTCTAAGAAAATATACAGCATCAAGATGCAGCGGGGTTACCGACCACAGCTCATAAATTGTGTCTGTCAACGCTTGGCGCAACCTTTAATAATCTGTGGTCTTTGCAGTACTGTGCTGATGTCAAAGAAATATTATACAAGAGCGGAGAATCGCAATATGTTTTGTATTCATTGTCCGTATTACATCTCATTGCAGTGCATAATTTAAGAAATTGAAACAAATGAAATATTTAAAATGAAATAATAATAATATAAGTTAAAAATGTAATTAGATTTTTTTTGCCCTTGGATATTCAAAAATACACAGATTTAAACCAAAACGCGTAAAGATTAAGATACCCATTTAAGTTTCGCCTGAAAAAAACATATACTTCATTCTCTTTAAAATTTCAGAAATTATTTAGATTTGTCATAAGATGTTTGTCTGTCTGTCGTAAGAATCAGAGAGTTCCAAAGAACAACCAAGAAACCTGTGTAGGCTTTTTAATTGTAGTAGAGTTCTAATTTAGGTAATTTAAGAAATAACTGTTAGCTTAATTTATACTAGTTAACATTATTGTATTTACTTACATTGTTTTAAAATCATAGTGTATTTAAACGTGGGGTTTTAAAGTAAGCCATACGAGAAAAGTAAAAACAAACTTCGAGTAATTGCAATACGACCAAACGGCGCGCATGTAACGCGCTAAGTGTTCATTAAAACAAACCTTTATGGTGGGTTTTACGTAAACTGTAACTTTATATTTCCGTACGCAATATTATGACGACGTTAATATTACGATAATATAATACCGTACATATAATATCCATGAATTATCTTATTTTTTAATAAGTATCTACTCACTTGTTTCTGTTTTTTTCTAGTTAATAAGAATAAGTTAATAAGATAGTGTCTTGCCATAAAAATTGTAACAAAGAAAAACATTTTTTTATTACAATAACATTTTAATTTTTTTACAGGGTTTAGTTTAAAACTTAAATATAAAGCAAGTTAAATATATAAAAGCTCTTCAGCTCTAATGAACCCCGGAACATTCGTTTCCAACCAAGACTGCGTAGCCCGAGCTTTATGGCCCGGCGCTCAGTCTTGCTGCAAGGACCATTCTCGGTTATTGAACTTGGCACTTTTAAGGGACTTCACTACTTTCTCAAGAATGGTGTCTTGATAGACTTGTGCAGATATTTTGTAACCATTTTCGAAAAGTATGGCACAGTCACTCCTTCATAGCTTCTTATAGGCTGAAAATTCTAAGTCATCTTTTTTCGTACGAACACTACGTAGACCAGATCTTTTTCTGTCACAAACTGTATGGAGAGTTTTAAGTATTGCATTTGGCTCCATGTCTACTTTGGGCAACGCAATCACAGCGCTTCTATTCCCTTTTCACCCCACTCTATTGTCAAAAAATATTGTAAAATTTATTAGCGCCAAAACGAGATAAATCATTGAACAATAATATAAAAATAAAAGTAAAAGGCACGTGTTTTTTTTTAATAAAGTTTTAAGATACTCCGTCTAAAAATGAACGATACTTTTAAAAATCTTAGTAAAGAGGTTTTATGTCAAGAAAGTGGTCAATATTTTATGAATAAAAGTAACTTTGGAAAATAAAATATAACAAATAAACATTTAATTCTTTAATTTAATTAATTTTGACAATAAATTACAACCATTTATCTGTAACAAAAACACAAAAATATTAATTTACTTTATTAGTAATACTGGCTGTTTTTATACCTTTGTCTAAAAAAAAAACCTTGATGCGCGCGCATCGCTTATTTGTGGACAAGTAAAACCAATTCCGCGCGCTTTTTCTTTTCGCTGTATTGTTTTCATTTGAAAATGTCGTCATTTCCTCGTAAACGTCGTATGACATACGTGCGCTTTGAAAATTACAGCCTCTGCTTTCTTATAGCCCTCTTTGATGGCTCGGGCTAGTAACATCGCCTCGGCTGTAATTTTCAACTTACCGCACTTATATCATAATCTACTATTACGGCCAGACTAAGTACATAGTTTAAATAAATTTATTTCTACAATATACTTTCATTTAAGGTTGTTGACTACTGAGTACTGAGCTTACAAAAGTTATAAGACTCAATGTATAAAATAAAAACATAAAGAGTTATGTGACATCAATGCGCGAATGCACCATCTAGTACCGCATGCATTGCAATTTAAAAACTCTAATCTCCCCGTGACCACGGCTGCTGCAAAGCATCCGAAACGTCGGGCCGAAGTTAAAAATCATTTTCAAATCAGTTTAATTAATATATCGCGTTTTAAACCGTTAAAGTGTTTTATTTAAAAGCTCTAATCTTATTTGTTAGTAATTAATAAGTAATATTTGTATTCTTTACCTAACAAAAAAATGTTTTTCTCGTTTTGTATAATATTAAATTGGTCCACAGTTTTCCGTGAGATACAAACAATTAGCAATTAATATTTATACAAGTGTCTCTTTGCTTAAATTTAATATATTATCCATTGTTTTTTTTTTACTAACAAATAATAAAAGCAGTGTGGTACAAGTAGTTTAAAAATATTATTAGCCAAATATTCTAGAATATAGCGAAAATATTTTACTTTCCTCACCTTATAAACATGTTTAACATATAAAAAATACTTAGATTGGGGGTTGTTTAATTATAACCAGATAACGAAATTACATAAATTTTGTCAATAATAGTTAATATCGTCAATAGTCAATCAATATGTAGGAATACTTTGTTCATATATACATATTCATCATTTTTTTTCATAGAATACAACAGTTGTAGCAACCGGCGGATCCAAGAGATTGGAGCGTCACGGGGTTCAGAACTAAGGTGGACCACTAATTGAAAATACTGATTTTATTTAATAATTATTATGAGGTAAGTTCTCAAGAAATTAAGAATTAATATTTTGAAAGTACCTCACGCTTACTTTACTTTTTACTTATCTATTGTTACGAAAATTAAATAAAGGTGGATCCGAAATTGGTCATGAAGGAATCGATTATATTTTATTTCATTTGTTTAATTAAAGTGCGTAACAAATAAACAAAGTGAATCGCTTACTACACTACCCAAAACTTGTACCATACGCTGCTAGTTTAAGATGATGCTTGATCAGATCGAACAGTCATAGTGAATCAGCAGCTCTTTACGATGTACATTGAAGGAATAATATTTTTAGTAACTACGATTGTAACCTACATATTATATACGCACAAACGTATCAAAAATTACTTCGATGCAAATGGAATTAGGTATTTACCCGGGATCCCAATTTTTGGGAATGCTTTTAAAAGTACGTTTAGAAAGAAACATATGATTGAAGACATTGACGAGGTGTACAAAGAATTTCCTAATGATAGGTAAGTGAAATTTACGAAAGTAATTCCTCATTTTCCACGGCCAACGCGGACGAACACATTTCTGTGTCCGTATTACTGAATTTTTTTAATACTGGAGGACGTGATCATGCTTCAGTGCTTTTTTAAATCCGTTTCGTCAGGGTCTTTTTATTAAAGTACTGTTATGTAGTGCTTTATTTGTTTTGCCGTTTTTAAACGTGAGATATAGTAGCGGTTTGCTATTAATAATATCATCTTGATTTTTATCCCAGGTACGTGGGTTATATAGAAGGTATGAAGGTAATTTTATTGATACGAGACCCAGAACTCATAAAAGCAATAACGGTAAAAGATTTTGAACATTTCGTTGATCACAAAGACTTAGTTCCTGTTGAAGTGGAACCACTTTTCGCAGATAGCATGTTTAACATGAAAGGTAAGCAGGTATTTGTTCAATAAAAATATAAAACTTTTTATACATTAACTATTTAAAATATTTTTTCTGCCTACGTCATGTGTTCCTTCGCAATTCTTAAATAAAATTGGTTATTGACAAGAAAGTAATTCTGGTAATTTAGAATTTTAATCAATAAAATGAATTGTTATGGGAGGATATAACAAAATACCTACCGATTTTTCCTGACCTTGCCTTAATTTGTGACAGGTGACAGATGGCGTGACATGAGAAATACTCTAAGTCCAGCGTTCACCGGCTCTAAGATGAAACGCATGATGCCATTTTTGGATGCAATTAGCGCTAATATAGTGGAGTACGTTAAAGGTTGGTTGTTTGAAATTTCACCCTTACATTGCAGGCTAGGACTTGAAACACAGGTAGAGTAAAATATTAGCTCAGAATTTAAAATTTCAAAGAAATTGTATAATACCAGCCCTGAGTTAGGTAGTTAGTGCACCGAAGTACACTAAGCCATCGATCCCGGTTCTTATCAGTAACTACCTGATCCAGCAAACGTTTTTTATTATTTGCGAGATTAATATTATTATGTTGATACAAATCTAACAAGTATTATTTTGTTAGAATGCATTGATTCCGATCAAAACTGGGTTACTTAAATGGATCTTGGAAGTTAATCATACAAAAAAGGCAACGATATACTTTCGCGGACATCTCTGTCCTACATCTAAGTTTAGTCATGGGACATAATTAGTTTGAATCAAACTTTGTACTGCTGCATTAAAGTTTTATTTTTTATTGTTAGTAGTGATTCCATTGAATTCTTAAATAATGTATTCCTAGGAAAATATTTCAATAGTTCCATTAGCTTACGAAATTCCCAGCATTAAACAATTTAACACGGCTTTTAACGTTATGACGTTAGTCTTTTTTGTCTTTCTTTGAACGAATAAATAACAATTCGACAAAAATTTACGTAGGTAAGTTATAAGCAGGTAGACCAAGGCGAATGGGATCATTTTTTGAATATGAAATTTTTGAATTTGAGAATATGAAAATCATACTAAAGTGAAATTTATATGTAACTTTTATTAACAAAATCGTAATTGGTACGCAATAAACATTTCAAAACTTAAATCATCGATTAATTTTCCCAAATTATTAATTAAAAACTTGAAAGACAGAAATGTCCCAATGGGATCGTAAAAAACTTATAACTAAATTAAATGTTCTTTCCGTTGTTAATAGCAAAACTTAATAATAATCAATGTCAAGAATAATAAACTCACATTTTTCATGGGACCATTTTTCGCCTGCACGGCACTGACAATCCTTTGACGGTGGATGAATGAATTCTTCTGAGCAGTAAATGTAATTCCAATTTCTCTGTTTTGCAGATGAATCTTTGATTTATATTCCACGCGTTATTTTATTCTCCTTCTGCTTTGTAATATTTCCCTTGTCATCAGTAGCTTACTTTCGCTAAGTGCAGTAAGCGGTCTGCTAAAATCTTTTCAGCATTCTCATTGAAGACTGCCTGACCACCATGTGTCTTAAAGACACCTCTGGAAAAACAGACTCTTCTTTGTACAATTGTGTATAGTAATTCGTAAATTTCAGCAGCTTGATAGGTAACTCTTTGGTCGGTACTTAATTTGCGGCTCCTTTCACTTTTTCTTGTGGCCATTTTTCCGCTATTGTTTTTCTTTTGTACGCGCGAACCATCTACAATGAAATAAAAAAGCATCATAATTATAAAATAAACGATTTTAAAATAAAATTGATCGATTCGCCTCGGTGTCCTACATTCGTTGGGGCCAATGAATAACATAAGATGAATTGTCTCAATAGAAAAATGTTTTTCTAGATCATTCCCATGAAGATATAGATATTGACGACTTAATTCGAAGATATACAAACGACGTAATAGCTTCATCAGCTTTTGGACTCACTGTTAATTCTGTTAAAGATAAGGAGAATGAATTTTTCAGAACCGGTCAGGATTTGTTTTCATTTACACCTTTTAGACGTATTTTCTATATTATCAATTTAGTTTGTCCGTCTCTGGCAAAGGTAAGAAAAAATATCGCTTTTATATTTTTAATTATATACCAAAAAAGTTCAAACTAACATTTAACTTTTATTTAGACCCTGGGCGTGTCAATGTTTAACCCTAAAAACATGTCTTTCTTTATGGATATAGTGTCAAATACGATGAGTTATAGAGAAAAGAATAACATAGAAAGGCCAGATATGATTCAGTTGTTGTTGGAAGCTGCTAAAGGTACCATAATAATAAAATAAAATATTTTTTTATTATCAATTGACATTGTTATACTTGATAATAGTTTATCTTTTTATGCAGGAAAGCTTAAGGTAGAGGAAGATGAAAACGACGATTTACAAACCAAATATGAATATGAACTTAAAAAAAATTCTAGAGGTAAGAGACGAATTAATCTTTGATGACCTAAGTAACAATATAAAACATACGCCGTACTAACATTGACATATGTTTGTTTGTCCTTTACGTCCTCACGGAGAAACAAATCTATTTGATTTTTTGCGTACCGGAACAATACATAATTTTCTGTATTATTTTCCAGAATGGTCACAAACGGAGTTAGCCAGTCAAGTACTCATGTTTTTCTCTGCTGGCTTTGAAGCCACAGCTTCAACGTTGGTTATGCTTCTACATGAGTTAGTGGTTAATGAAAAAATACAAGAAAAACTGTACCAGGAAATAAGAGATTTTAAGGATAAAAATGGACAATTGACTTACAATAAAATAAACGACTTGAAATATTTGGACTGTGTTCTAAATGGTAAGTATAATTATTGTAGGATATATATATATAGGACACTTGGTGATAATTTAAGATAAGTAACCAAGGAAGTGGAGACCATTTCGTCCCTAGCTTTCAAATCACTAGGGACAAGACGGGGTAAGACCATTTCCAGATTTATATAAAAAAAGTTAAATTTAACCTGAAAAATTTTCAAGACACATGTGAGTTTTAAAAGCGTCACAACAACCTTCCATACTCGGTATGACACAGTATGGTACGATGTTGATAGAGGAAGAGGAGAAGTGGTCGCAGTTGCGTCCATAAGGGATAACTCGTCTATCCTCATTCAAAAGACGGTGTATGAGGAGACGAGGGCTCAGCGTGAGGAGAACCGGCGGCTCCGGGAGCAGCTAGAGAAGGTCACGCAGTGTGTCGAGGATCTGCAGAAGTCCTCTCGGCTCCCCAGCAACATAGAGGAGTTTGAGGCAGGGCTTCTGTGCAAGATCGGGGAGCGAATCCACGTGAAGTTCGAGGGACTCGAGAGTATATACAGACCAAAGACATGTTTTTGGTATTACACTAGATATTGAATAATAAACAATTTAGGTTATAAAAGAATTTAATTACGTATATGATATTATTTACCTCATAGAAGCCTTGAGGAAGTGGTCCCCTTCAATAGTCTTAGATCGAGTGTGTACAAAAAAGTATGAACTACCGCCATCAAGGGAAGGAGGAAAACCATGCATAGTAAGTGAAATCATGAACCAAAACCAAATCATTAATTGAAATTTATTGTAAAGCCAAATTTTGTGTCACTTTTATTGTATTGTATTTGTAGTTGTATCCCGACAGTATCTTATACTGCCCAGTCAATTCCCTGCACTTGGATCCAGAATACTTTCCAAATCCCTATGATTTCGACCCTGAAAGGTTTTCTGAAGAAAACAAACATAAGATCAAGCCCTTCACATATCTACCATTTGGTGTTGGTCCACGCGTCTGCATCGGTAAGTTTGTGAAAAATATATTTGAGCTGCGTGAACCGTGATTCCGGGAGTAATCTATCCTAATATATAAAGCTGAAGAGTTTGTTTGTTTGTTTGGTGGATTAACTGGACAGATGGACTGTTTTAATTTTTGTGTTTAGTTAGAGCTTTTATCGAGGAAGGCTATATAACTGTGCTGTGATTAATAGGAGCAAAGAAACAGCGAGGAAATGTATGTGTTGTCCTTGTTGGTTTCGTTGCATACGCTGCAAAACTGGTTCAAGATCCCCAAAAATATGAATGAATGATTTAAAAAATGTCAGTTGTACTATATGACAATTTTTTAAACCTAACTTGCAAGAACGCCGGGATGCGACCAACGGGTATGATTTACAAAGATTTAGAAGAAGTTTAAAAACCTACTATGATAACTAAAATAACTAACTATTCTACGCGTACGAAGTCGTTGACACAGCTGGTTCATTCATAACCTCCGTGTACGGTCCAAGTTTTACTTCTGTAATGTGTAAAGTCTGCATTTTTATTGTTATAGGAATTCGATTTTCTCTGATAGAACTCAAAGTTCTACTATATCACTTGGTGGACAATTTCAAGTTAATTAAGTGCGACAAAACTACTGACCCACCAGTGTTGGCGCCCGAAGACGTGAAGATTATGGCCAAGGGAGGAAGTTGGGCTGGGTTTGAGCTGAGAAACCCCTGATTCGATATTAACCCGTTCAATTTTAGGTGAAATAATAACAGTAGTGCAAAAAAAACTCCTTAATTAATATAAATGTTGTAATTAATTTCAAAGCAAGTGTCAACAAAGCTTTTATGAAAAGAGCAAAAGCGTGTCAGCAAAATTACATCACGTTAAAACCTAACATTGTAGGTTGCTTTATGAGACGTTGGAAACTTTAAATATGTTATACGATTTTGACATCATTAACAAGTTTTAACTGTTATTCGTGAAGACCAACCATAAAAACCAATTTAACTGCAAGATAATTAATACAATGTTAGTAAAAGTCAGTAAAATATATAAACATATATTATATGTTTGTAATCTATCTATACTAATATATAAAGCTGATGAGTTTGTTTGTTTGTTTGAACGCACCAATCGCAGGAACTACTAGTTCGAATTGAAAAAGTCTTTTTGTGTTGGGTAGAGCATTTATTGAGGAAGGCTTTAGGCTGTAACACAACGAGATGTGACTAATAGGAGCGCAGAAACAACGGAATCTGGAAAACAAGGGGAAAAGTGGTTTGTTTGTTTGTTTAAACGCGCTATTCTCAGAAACTACTGGTTTAAATTAAAATATTATTTTTGTGTTGGTTAGAGCATTTATTGAGAAAGGTTATAACACATCACGATGTGACTAATAAAAGCGAAGAATAATCGGGTAATGTCAAAAAAACGGAGGAAATCTACTATTTATTATGGGTTTTCGAGGCGTACGCTCCAAAAACGGTTAAGGATACACAACAAAATGTATAAAAGAATGATTCCTCTTTAAATTATCTAAAAAAAGTCTTTAACGCTATATGTTTATCTTTTAAGCTTACTTGCAAGAACGTCGTGGCTCCTGGTTAAAATTTATGTTCAACATAACTATTCTACGCGGACGAAGTCGCTGACATAGCTAGTAGTGCTGTCTATAAGTTCACGCGAGTAGTACGCATTTCAATTCAATAAAACACTTTAACGGTTTAAAACTAATATATCGCGTTTTAAACAGCTAGTACTGAATAAAATTGTATGATAGGATATTCTACTTTAGTTTAGACATTAGGCAACTTTGCTGTATTTGTTTTCATGCATCGCTATCAAAACTCTCGTGTTATATGTTCTCCTGGTCGATCTCTCTACTTCTTGTCCAGATCCTAACTCAATGCTAGGCAATAGGGCTCACTGGTGATGAAAAGTAACAGACAGATTTAAAAAAATGCCACAACTTTTAATATTTATCACATGTCCTTTGCACATGATGTAATTATATAAATTAAAATAAAAAATACATTTCGCGAGAATAAGTTGAAAGACTTTGAACGCTCAAAACGTTTAATTTCCGCCAGTGTCGTAAAATTGGTTCATTCTAAAATCGATTTTTAATTTATATCACAACTACTGGATACATTCTAGATAGTAATGAATACAATTAACGCAAAGTACAGGTTGTTAATCGTAGGTTCGGGTCCCGGCCGTGTCATCGATTTTAATCTAAAACACTTTCAAATATCACAACCGTTTCGTCTACCGTTAAGGCTATTGTAAAGGGATTTACATTTGTCAAAGCGAAACGAACAATAAAACTCGTCAAAGCCATCCGAACAGCGTCCATAGCAATTTACAGTCTGTGAAATATAAAAGTTGTATCGCTTGCAATCTCACAATAAATGGGCTATCTTGGAGTCAGCAGCTTCGCGTTCGAACGGATTTTCTTTCCGATAGCCAAGATTAAAATATAATTGTTCAATTACCATACTATAAATAGAAATGAGTCGCATTTCTGTTTTTAAATACTGTCTGTAGTTTACGCGAGTAGTACACATTTAAATAAAACACAAAAACGGTTTAAAATGCGAAATATATTCGTATTAGTTATACTTTACAAATTATTTTTAACTACCGCCCGACGTTACGGATGCTTTGCAGCTGCCGTATCTGAGATCTCACCCTGGTAAACAATTTTAACTAATATAGGTATATCACGTTTTAAACTGTTAAAATATTTTATTTAAATTTCTGTTTTATTTTAACTTTAGGCCTGGGATGTTTCAACTTAATAACAATGTTATTTATGGATTAAGAGATTGTTTAAATTTAATCATTAAATTGAAAGGTTATTTAAGTTAATTATTTAACCCTTAAGCATCTGTCACATAAATTAAAGCAACTAAAATACTAAAAACTGTCTATAGTCTACGCGAGTAGTACACATTTAAATAAAAAACGCGTTTAAAACGCGATATATTAGTTAAACTTATTTGGAAATGATTATTAACTTCGGCCCGACGTTTCGGATGCTTTGCAGCAGCCGTGGTCACAGGGTAGACCCCGTGACCACGGCTGCGCGTTTTAAACCGTTAAAGTGTTTTATTTAAACTAAAATACTAATAAAAATCTAAGGGCATGGGGAAAGATACATGTCTATGACTATTCAACTAGACCATTTGGTACTAACAAAATCAACATTGACTATAATTCGGTTCCCTACATTTCAATTATTTTACTATCTTCTAAACTTCAAACCTAGATAAATAATGATGAATAATTTTCCCATTTTTTTTTCACATTTTCCGCTGTATCTTCGCTTATACAGGGCGATATTTAACCTTCCTTGATAAATGCTCTAACCAACACAAAAATAATTAATTCGAACGCGTAGTTCCTGAGATTAGCGCGTTCAAACAAACAAACAAACTCTTCAGTTTTATATATTAGTATAGATTACGTAATAACCAAGACCGCGATGAGTTGATAAGAATGAAAAGACCGAATTATTGTTAACAGTTGATTAAATTTATTTTGAAGCAACTATTGTTTACAAAATTCATTTATTTAACTTGGCTTTTATTTGTAAGACTGAAGGTAATGGAATTCATTCTTGAGACTGGCTTTTGACAGAATTTAATTTTAAATTCCTCGTTATTCAACTTTAATTTGTATTTTAAATTTGTGTTCACTCAGCTGAAAGATAACTTTATAGAACAATTACACAAATTAACCTTATTAATGGTACAACTTTTTTACATTTTAAAATAAGTTAGCTATTACAATATATTACAAGCACATTGTATGGAGATTAACAAGCAAGATTTAAAAGACAAGAAAGATTATTTCTTGCAATTATAACGAGGTCGTGTTAGGATAAAATAAATTTTATTCGAATAAATAATATTGTCAAAAGAGCCTCTTTCACGAGCAAAATTAGTCATACCTTTGTACTGGAGTTATTAGACTATTTGTTCGTTGATTTAGATTCTTTTTGTATAACATCTATATCTATATATAAGCTGAAGAGTTTGTTTGTTTGAACGCGCTAATCTCAGGAAGTACGAGTTCAAATTGAAAAATTATTTTTGTGTTGGTTAGAGCATTTATCGAGGAAGGTTATAGGCTAACACATTGCGATGTGACTAATGGGAGCGAAGATACAGCGAGAAATGTGAACAAAACGGGGTAAATTCTTCATCTCTGTAGGTTTCAGATGCGTACGCTGCGAAAACGGTTCAAGATACCTAAAAATTGTGTATGAAAGAATGATTCCCCCTGTAAATGATCTAAAAAAAAGTCCGCGACGCTATATATCTATCTTTTAAGATTAACTTGCAAGAACGACCACGACGGGACGCGTACGACGGGATACGAATATCGTGGGTAACAGCTATCTACACTAATATTATAAAGAGGAAAGATTTGTATTTATGTATGTAACAGATAAACTCAAAAAGTACTGGACCGATTTTAGTCATTCTTTTTTCATTAGACAGCTACATTATCATCGAGTAAAATAGAATATACTTAGTGCTAGATTACGATAGAAATCTTTAGAAATTTCTATTAAAAGCAACGGGAGGTGTAAAAAAATTAGCCATAAAATGTCTTTTATCGCATACGCCGCGAAGAGTATTAATGATAGGACAAAAAATGTTCGACAATATTATAGAATATATCAATATCTACAAAAAACATCGCGAGACCATATATCTAACTATTGTAGTTATAACTGCTTTTTTACTTTTAACAAATTGATAAATTGAAAATAATTGGCTGCCCTAAATGCGCCCTTACAGTAATTAATAAACAGCCTAAATAATTAAAAATTCTACCACAAGTCACTATTCCACGCGGATGAAGTCGCGGGCACAGCTAGTATTATATATATCAAGCTAAGGCTTGACACAAGCATATAGTAAGTATAATCATAATGAACCACTGGTTAACAATATTTTCTTTGACTGAACTATGTGGCAGACATACCAATGTGTATGTTTCACTACTTTAATTTTAAAATAGGCATGAAGATGATCAGACATCTGAGCTCCAAATAAATAAAGGAATTTTTGTTTTTCAAAAAATTTACCACTTTTCAGGCTTATTTATCCATGAAGGTAACAATATTTAAAAGATTTCAATAAACTCGGAGAACGGTAGAATTGTTTGTTATTACGAAATAGCCAATGAATTATTAAACGTTACAGTAAGAATCATGCCAAAAACGGACATTTCCGCTGAGTTTTGAAGCTTTAAAATTTAATTATGGCACATCAGTTACTTAATTAAATTCAGCTCAAATTACGAGATTGTGAATTTGGATTTTCTTATGCTTCATAGTAATTGGAAGTTAAGTACGATATTTTATTTCCATTTTTTTATTAGAGTTGTAAAGTATAGTATGTAATTGTATATTAAGAATAAAAATAGCATTTTCGTAAATACCAGTTGGGACTTGTATAAGTTTGTTTGACGAAACTAGTATATTTTAGAATTAGAGACAAGCCAAGAACAACTAATAATTCAATGTTGGAGGCACTCGGAATAATAAAGTTGGTCTAGATGCGCACCTTTGCTATTAATATTAACTACGAAACGTACGGGTTTAGCACAATTTGGGAAGGTGGATGCCATGAATATTGCAAAACGGAGGAATTCATAATACGAGTATTCGTTGACAACGCTCTGCGGTTCGCCATCGAATGATTGATAAAAGCCGG